GACCATTAGGAGTTCAATTCTTTTCTAAAAAGTGTTCAACTGATTTGAATAAAACGGCAGGTTGGCCATAAGCTGAATGCTAATATTTTGAAAATCTCATGCAGAAAAAAAATTGACCACTAGTTAAACATTCCGAATTTTTGAGATTTAATGTAATTAAATAGCTAAAATATTTCCACATAGTTTATGTTTACTATTCCACTAGAAGGAAGTCAAATGAATGATTTTCTAGAATCGGTATTCAAATTAACGTCTGTCCTGTTTGCGTTCAATATCACATCATTCCGATCACCCTACCGATCGATATGATTTGCTTATTTAGGTTTTAATTGGTGTAATACATACTAAATTTTAAATAAATAATTTCCTTTTCTGTGAAAAATAAATGCATCTTACCTATATGCCACCTCATTTCGTTAATTTAGCTCTAAGAAAATTGACCAGACATTATTTTTGTTTACAACGAGGCGTTCGATATTGAACACTCGTATTCGGAATGTTTCGAGCATATATGTATACGTAATACAAACTCAGCTTTCAATAAAACGTCAAGATACTGAACATTAAAATTATTTGAGACTATTTATTAGTTATGTAATAAATTCTTTTATTAACATGTATATTTTATTCGCATCCCTAACACTATAATTATATGCTTCTCTTCTCACCCCCAAACAGTTTTATCAAATTTAAAAAATCTGATTTGATAAAGTTTAATGGACGATTATAAAAAATCAGGTGGCGGATGATATATACAGGTTGTTAAAGAGTATGTTCAAATCAGGAAAGAACAAGTGGTTTATTGACCAATGCAGGAAAGCAGAGTAATATATCTCTGATCGTGCCCTGAAAATCTTGCGCCGTAAATTCCACAACATTTGCAATGACATAATGGGATCTGTAGCATTTTGTCTAAAAGACAAACGTATATATCAATATAAAGTTAAGGTTTTGGAGCTAGCTTTTAAATTTCAAACTGCGCAAGAGAGGCACGAAATTTAATTTCCGCTTATTTCGCTGCTCTGTCAAGACTTTCAACCTAAATGTCATCAAATTAAATCATATAATCCTTTGTTCTCCCATTCATTGATTTGGCGTTTTATATGCAACATTTTCGAGAAATATTTGCATTTCTACGTATTTAAACTACACACAAGTATAGAGATGATAAACTGATAGAATTAATTACTACTTCTCCCCAGTATTTTCCGCACAATTGCAAGTAAAGAGAAGCAATTTTAAACTACACACGGCTACGGAGATGATAGAATGATAGAGTTATATACTTCTCCCCAGTCATATGGCCTTTCACGGGGATTAGTTATAATTCATGGAGTGTATTAATGCATTTCCTCTCGTATACTTGATAATATTATACGATTATTAACAAGAAAGCAATAATATAAAAACAAACATTTAATTACGTAAAAAGATTCAATGCAAATGTCTTATTTTAGGAAGCAAGTTTACATGTACAACACAATTTTTAGGATATAATACATATTTGGACTTAACAATGCATTCATTACACATAATAAATGTATTACTTTATGAATAAATATGAATACCAACATTATGTCAAGATTTAAATCATTATCATCCATTATTTAAGTAATTAACTTTGCATAACATGTGTGAACAACTATTGATATAAAGATATATAAAGTCAGTTAGGTTTGATCATCATGAGGGTATCTTTTATCTGTTTACTACCAGTCACTGTGGGATACCATGACCGGCCCCATAACTCCGGGGACCATTCACCGTTAAGGAAGGCGTGGTTACAGAAGTTAAACCACCAGCCTCCTCTATTGTTACTGTCAGCAGCACAGTTACCACTCCACTTGTCATTGTCTCTGTCTGGGGTACTGAAGGACATCCCAGACAGATCGTAGTAAGAAGAACCTGTATCTGACATAGAGTCACCTGTAGAATTATCAAAGAAAAATATTACACGAACAGACTATATCATTATTATTTACTTAAAATTCAAGCTTAAAACATCTTTAGTATTCAAAAATAAAAACTTTTTTGAATTGCTTTAAATTGCATTGATTCCAATTACAATAGATGAGCACTGTTTTAATTTAATATTTCACGTTGTTTTTCTATTGTCAGTTGATTTCTTTTTTGACTGTATACGAACATATTGATGAGTCTCAACAGAAATAAAAGATTGAATGAATGATTGAATGTTTGTAGTACAGCGTCCCTCGAGCTTTTTTACTGATATGGTCACGCCACTACTTGCCGGAGGAGAGCTAGAAATTTTGCCCTATTATACATGCTTACAGGACCATTGAGCAGAGAACGATGTGTTTTTCATGCTAGTACTTACTGCTACATGGATCTCGGTTTATAGATCTAATCAAAGGGACCAGTCTGCTCTTCCTACGGTGGAATTGAACCCTGCGCACGTATAATCTATTCCGTACTTCGCGGCTCTAACCATCGCTCGACGCAGGCAACGTCAATTAATTGAATTATTATTTCATTCATGTGAAGCCTTTTTCTGAACATCGAAACTGATAACCCTATATATGTACATATAAATAATGGATATTCAAACAATAATTGCAAGAACAAATAAATTGATATAATATTAGAAAAAAGGCAGTTTAATTTTTTTTAGGGGGAATGGGGGCCACCTCTTCAAGTTAACAGTACAAGGAAGAATAGCTTTTCATCCGTTATATCAACCATTAGTCATTAGGAATTCTTAAAATTTGTGAATCTAAATGCAATTTATGTTATAAACAAATTTGTGTAACTAGAAACAATTGATGTGATTCACGTATTTTGTATTGCTTTTGTAAAATCTACTATGTTTATCTTCAACAAAAAAGCGAGATAATTACAATAAGTCGTTGTTATCGTCTGTAATTAATAACATTTCCATTACAATTTTTTTTCAATCATTCAACACCTTAATTGATTTCTCTGAATGACAACATTACGTACGAGTACACGTGCATTTATTACTGATTGGCATATATAGAATTGAATAGGATTTTTAAATTACAAGGAAACATTTACTTTCAAAATATTGATATCCACCCCCATCCCCCCCTCCAATTAAATGCGTAACAATAGTGCTGGTTTTCGAAGAAAGACTTGGCATTTGTCTATCTGTCACTCGAAATCAAACCCTTTTTCCATCTCTCTCCTTAATATAGGTCGTCATTCAAACCTTTTTTTCCGTTTACCTACCCAGGGTCCCGGTAGCTGGTCCTCCAAGAAAAAGTCGGTAGCTGTTGGTTTCGTCAGCAACAGAGAACTGGTTGTATAATTCATAGAGCCTCTTCCCATTAGTCAGTGTGATAGATACGTAGAGGGAGGAGTTCCTTCTCTTGGTAAGTTGATGTATGACGTCATTTCCTTAAATATGTTATCAATGAGTTATTAATGTCGTATATAAAGCATTTATAAAACAAACTGCTTTTTTTAATAATTGTTGTGTTAAAAGGCAACATTCAATTGTTATTATAATCAGAAATGCCATAATTCCATTAAACATACATGTTTTTACATGAAATAAGATAAATTCTAGTCCCTTACAATAACACCTGTTACTAAGATGTATTCTCGTTCGTCAAAACAACATCAGATATTATACAGTTATTGCAGTTTTGAGGTCAATACAATGACTTAGCAATCTGAGGAGTACATTATTCACCGAGCCCTAAAAAACAGCAATAATTGTTTTATTATATGATTCACTGATAAAATGATACAGCTCATTACTTGCTCACTTGCATTCAATTAAGTCCTAGCCTAAGTAGAGAGAAACAGGATAAAATTGTGAATAAACCTTACCAGTCGTATCGATTTGATATGTTTTTTTTAATCAATTTTAGTTGCCATGAAAAAAATATAATTTCAGATATTTTATAGGATAGATTTTGAAAGGAAGGAGTATAACCTGGGAAAACTCACTGCCAAAAAGTAAAAAAAAAACGTTGTTCAGTAAAAGTGTTGGAGGGGGTCCCTGCATCCCCTTATACCACCCTTACCCTAAAATATATATTCGCTTATGATTTGTTCACATAAAAAATCATAGTCATTTAAATAGCTTTCCAAAACAATTTGTATCAATTTGGAATTTCCCAATCTATTTTTAGATCAATGTAGAGGAAATAAATCCTTGTATTGACCTGGAACGCCATGTGCAGGTCAATACAACGTAGTATTTTTCTAACATAGTTTGATCACAGCCAATCAGAGAGATGGAAATCATCAATCAAATAATAATGATAATTATTTACCAATCCAGTAAGAATCATTAGGGAAACCAAATCCATCCTTGTATTCCGCCCACGTTCTGTTGAATCTCACTGATCCACTCACACGTCTCTGGATAGCCTAAGGATTTATTTATTTTATGGATCAATTATCAAAAGTAATGAAATGTTTGTGAGTTACGTTGTACTTGAAGAATATTTAAAAAACGATAGTCATTCAAAAGTCATTCAAAGTTAGCATATTCTTTTAACCCCCTTCCCCGCAGTCACGCATTTTAACGCATGTGCTTTTTCCTACTTCTGACGCAAAATCACGCATTTACCGTTTCCCCGCAAACACGCATTTCACGCACTTCAAAAAGTTCATTTTATCTTCAATTTATTGCAAAATTCCTTCTATTTTATAATTGCTTTCAATTCATAAAATAAGGAAAGTAATTTTTTCATTGAAATATTACATCATAATATATTTATGCTAAACTTTATAGAAACTTGTACCAGACTATAAAGAGCTTGCGGGGAAACGGTTAGGTCATATTTCTTTGATGTGACATTAAGGGTTATGTTGCATAACAATTCAGTTAGTTGTAAAGAGTTAAGTAAGTTACGCACAAATTTTTAGGTGAAGTAAAATTTAAAATAAAAGGTCAGTAGGTAGGTTATTTTTTTTCAAAAATCAAATTGATTTCAATGTTAATTTCTTTTTAATTATATTTTCCAGAGTACATCTAGAAATTTGGTGGCAAAAATGAAAGTTTTAATCAGAGCAACCAAATTTATCTTTAAACATCGCCTGATTGTTTTCTTTAATAAATCATTTTTCATATGAAAATCTTCTTTTTTTATTCTCATCATCCTTTTAATTTTTCTTTTGTACACTCATGAAACTGAACACATGCTATTCTACTTTGTAATGAAAAGTATTGACTGTCAGAATGCTATCAGCATCATATTAGTTAGGCTAAAAAAATATTAAATGTGAACTCTGTGTCAGTTTGTTTTATAGAATAACGGTTAAATATCAGGCCTGGGGCCATAAAACGTAGACGAGCTATGTATTCCTAGGAAAAAGTGTAACTGAGATCAAAAGTTAGCTCCTCTAAGTTTTATGGCCCCAGGCCAGTTTTACAAAGTTTAGGAATATATAAAAGATAAAGTATAGTACAGTACCTGAAATTGATGGGATGGACAGAGACAGAGATGGGGGAAATGAAAGAGAGAAGAGAAGCTAAAGAGGAAAAAAGATGGAAAAAAGATCTTACTGTCCACCCTCCTCCTTCATTCACCATGTCACAATACACGCTGACACTGGTCTCGTTACCAAAAGGGTTTATCTCATATACGCCAGACTGTGTGTGCCCAAGAAGATGGTGATATCTACAATTCCTTGTTAGTTTTAAATCTGTAATATAATATAATATATAACAAGTTGCTGTCCTTTAAAAAAAGGACTGCAATGCGTGGACCATATGCATGTGTTTCGAACCGAAATTCAACTAGAAAATAGTTTTAGGTTTAGGGAATTTACATACGTTCATTTACATTTCCACAATGACCTGCCTACTTTGACTGATTAGTACATTCATAGCTAAATTATTAAATTTTATATCCGATTAGCCTATATTTAGCCTATAGTTTTCTAATTTAAAAAAGGTCGGGCTATTTTGATACATGCCAACCATATAAACTGGGACATAATATCTGTTCTGGACTTATACGGAAGAAATCTATCGTTAGAAAATAGATCTGATGGTTGAATTGTAGCACAGCTCTACAGTACGCAGATTTTTAAATTTTCGAACCCCCTCCCCCATGGAACACCGTTTCTACAGGTATCTGTTAAGGTAGAACCTATGTCGGAGAAGTCTTTGTCACAAGATTTTCAAACTTTTCATAATGATAAATTAGCACTTGCTTATCAATCAGTAAAAAGCACATGACATGTTTCCTTGTTATTAAATGTGGTGCAGCCAGTTAAACATGGAATGATAAATACATACAGGGTGTTTCACAATATATGTCACATATCTAAAGACAGATTTGATAAATGACACCAAAAGCTACATATATATTTTAAATATCATTTTAATCAGCATATATTCAAAAATAATTTTTTGAGTCAGAAGTATTGAAAATTCTCTTCTTCAGTTACTATGGCAACAAATCCTAAAATGTTATTCTCCAAGTGTTTTCACAACATTGTCCTAAATAACTTAAGAGACTAATGCTTATAAATTTCAGATCACTGTTTTGTAAGATTCTCAAGATTTTTGAGACTTTTCTTCTTTTATATCTGGGTTTTTAGAACCCCAAAACTGCAAATCTATTTTTATTTAAAGTTGCATTTAAATAAATGTGTCGATTCAGAACTGCCGGTATGTGTTAATTTGTGTCCACTTCTTTTGCTCTTCCTTAATTTCAGTCAATCTTGCAAACCTGGCTCTGAATGTCATTTGACTTTAAACGTTGGAATCTTGTATGTAGACACACTTTACTCAAACTTAAGATTTCGAAATACTCCTAATACACTTACTGGCATTGTTACAACACATCTCCCTAAACTAGGATCTGACTTTCATGAGGTTTTCTCTTTGGTTGACTTCACTCTGATATTGTTTTTATCTCTTCTTGATTTTTGGGGGGTGGGGTAGGGTGGGGTGAAGAGGAGGCAGGGTTTAGCTGGCTTTTATCTTTACATTATTATTTAATTAAAACCCTCTAGCTATTATTAATATAAGAAAAATAAACAGTAATTGCTGGTCTAGGTATTTTTTTTATTATAACCCCTGTAAAATATTTAAGATATCTTAAACGGTTCTAATAATAAAAGTTTACAAAAATATTTTTGCTGCAAGTTTTACTCCATTATGAGAAAGCTGAAATTATGACATCCCTGATTATATCATCAGCTACTTCGTGGTTTACAATAATTTTCCCGATACTACGCAATACAATAATTTTAGATCAATATGCTTAACTATAGTGTTTTGGTATCTTTGGTATCAGTCTCGATATTCAGATCATGACCATTTAGATGTGTGACATATATTGTGAAACACCCTGTACTTCGACTTCACAATTTCAGTCATTTTAGGGGTACTTGTCATGCAAAGAAGACAACAAAATCCCAGTATTGCTTCTTTAAACATCGTTGTTTTTATTGTTTATTAACTGAACAGTATTAAACAATATTTCCCGAGAATAAAATTCTTTTTTATTCAATTGACATAAAAGAAAAGTCCACATTTTCAACACTATAGGCAAATGAACTCTATTTATTTTCAGTCAATTTTCCGACCTACATTTGTAAATATATATCAGAAGTCTTTGTCACAATGTTTTCAATCTTTAATATAATAAAGAACATACCCAAATGATTACAAAATGTGATTAAAATATATACCTTTCCCCTCTAACGAATGAGAGATAGGTTATTTACCGATACTAATATTCTTGACCTTTTTGCACTTACACGCATTTTGTTATTAAATGACTGTTCGGGGCTAATTTCAGCTTCAAAATGTTTATAAAAAATTGTACTTTTAATTTAAAAGCTCATATTTAATATAGAAATTGTAATAAAACCCCATGAATATGAATAAGTAACAAATAATTATGAAATGGAATGCACATCATTTCATGATAGATATAACAAAATGTACACACAATCTACAACACGTACATCTTTGACTTAGACACATTTCATCAAGATATTACACTCTTTACCGGTAGTTGGCAACTGACAATTTTTTAAAAAGATTTTTGCATTCCTTCAAAATAATTACATACCATTTTATATTATTACAATTTGTTGTATACATGGCAATTTCATCGCACAATGTAGTCTTGGATTTGTCAACTTAATTAAGGTCAAGATCTATTAAATGAAAGGTGCCTACAGGTTTCTCTAATTCAAGAGATATATTTTCATTAAGCATTAAATTAAAAAAAATTATACAAATCGAATATTAAGAGTATTTTGGCATGATTTTAAATTGAATTCTGTGAATTTCAAAATGCAGTTTTTTCTACCATTTCTATACTGAAGCTGAAAAGTACAAAACTAATGCCGATTTTTTTAAAGCTAGAACTTGTTGAATGAAGTTTTAAAATCAAGGTATTGAGTTATCTAATATGGTATACGTGTATACTCTATACGGCAAGTTCTTCCTACTTTTAAAAATGCTTGTGCCATAGACTCAATATGTTTGGTTTGTATATTAGGATCTATCAATAAATATATACGATGAATTATGCAAATGTAAAAGCATTTGCCAATGAAATTGTATACTCTAATTCGACTAAAGCGAATTATTCTACGAGCAAGTTGTCTTAGGAGAAAACTCTCTAGCGTTCTCGCACATGCGTATCCTGACGTTTGCCCAGGGCATTCGGTTTAACCTCGTTTATATATTTACTGCGTGGACCTCAGGGTCCATGCAATAAATATTATAATCCATATAGTCATTATTATATATATATATATATATATATATATAGAGAGAGAGAGAGAGAGAGAGAGAGAGAGAGAGAGAGAGAGCACTCGCGCTCACCGACTTGTGGGGAACTCACACCTGACAAAGGACCTTTCTTATGGGGAAAGTTCAGAATTGTGGGGAACTCTCTCGTTCCCCACAAATATGGTCATGGGGTTTTTTGAATTCTACGTGTTCTACTGATAATATTTATTCGATTTGTGGTCATTTTTGAAAAATTCCCCATAAGTCCGTAAAATTGACTCGCAGTAATTTTCTCACTGCACCGTAAAACGAATGTTTGAGGATGCTGGGAAATGTTCATTCGGAACGCAGCGGAATTTAAACTGGTCCCCATATGATACCAATTTATTGCGGGCAATGGTTGCTCCTAGAATATGTGGTAAGTAGATTTTTTATCATATTTTAAAGATATTATAGGCTGAAAACTTAATTTAACTACGTAAATCATGCATGCAGTTATTTCTTACAGACGTTCGTAAAGTAACATTTAATACTGAATGCACGTAAAACTTTGGGAAACTTTGACCCGACCTAGACCTCGGTTATTTATTTTTTTTAATTGTATCATGTTGATAGGCCTAATGGCTATCCTGAAAGAACAAACTACGGATTTATATGAATTCAGCATCCCCGGGATATGGTAAGCGTTTAAGGCTTGTCCCCATTTTTTTGTGAAACACGACTATCCTCCTCATGCCCATACAAATTATGCTAGACGGTGCGACTGTCTGGTCTTTAGCTGTTTAGTGAGGCCTGTGTGGGCGAATTAATTGTAAAAGTTAATCTGACTTAAACTGTACGTGTATTTATAAACGATGTCAGTCACACACTGACTCAGTGTCAGAAATGTATCACAGAGAACTCCACCTTTTCAAAAGGTCCATTGAAATCAGTACATTTATAGATTTACGTAGCTAAAATTTCTTAGCTTGGTTAGATTATTTAACATGTTTAATTCTTCCAAAAAAAGCTTGATTTAGTTATCGTTTTTTTATCAAGTCATTCTTCCTACTTGTATATATTTCTTCGCATGCGTTGGTTTGCATAGTGTCCATTTGCCTTCATTATCTTTCACCTGCACCCTGTTCTACATTCATCCTGATTGCCCTACTGAAAATATTTTCATGATTTTAGACCATCATTATCGATGTATCATAAGTATTTTTTTTTTATTTTGCTAAGGCCAAGATAAATAGATAGTGTTTCTTATTTTAACCTTAGAAAAGATAGGGTAGGTAGGTAGGAAAAACATTTTTATTTTATTTTAACATTTTATTGGCAGGCACGCTGCCACTTTCCCCCAGGATTTCACTGTCAAAATATTTCTGATTAATATGTGTAAGATATGCATTTCTCAAACATGGAAGTGATCAAGATTGGGATTTCATTTCTAATTGTAAACTGGAATTCTGAATACTGTAATATGTGTATATAATTTGGTGCTTTCAAAATTTAGCATAATCATTGGGTTGGCATAATCATAAATTAGCGCTACACATGTATGTGCGGTGTATTGTATATATCAATATGTAAATGATTTCTTAGCAGTATTCGTGACTTAGATGCATTGTTGTCTGCACCAAAGCCGCTAAAATATGAAGCCTGCATTTTAAAGTATACATACAGTAGTTTACTCATGGAAAGATATTAGCAGAAAAAATATTGAGGGTCGGCTCCTATACTTCTTAGAGTTAGGCGGGGAACTAAACATGCTGAAAACACACTACTTATTTATATAGGCCCAATTAAAATGTCTAATAAGTAATAAACACTGATAAATTCATTTTAATTAAATACTTATTGTTAATTAAAGATCACCTTTTATTTTTAAAATTTGTTACAATTCAAACCTTGGCCTTGGGGTTTAGATGCTGATGGAATAAATAAGAAACAAAATCATATGTAAAAAATAACTAAAAATCCTTTTCAAAAC